TAGTTCTGATGAGTCTGCCTCAGACATGTCTTTTTTCAATTATGAAGTCTCCTTTCCATACCTTCCAAATAATGACTACTTTATTGCTCTTTACTTATTGGTGTGATAAAAACTGTTGGGACGGAGGATGCCCCAAGTGAATATGTATTACTGAACAAAGATCAGTGCCTCAGACCCATGGGAACTGGCAAAGCCTTCCTCCAGTCTATGTGCAAATGTTGACACAGTGTACAAAAAACGTGAGTGAGACTGCTTCCCTACAGAGACTTCCCACAAAGACGAGCTATCCCCTTTCACCAGCTATAAATAATAGAGTATTTGATACCCCAGAGCATGTCTGTGTGTCTGTCCTTTCTTCTCTCATTGCCCCAGTCAGGTTTTATAGGACCAAGCCATGCTGGATGCAGTGGAAAATGTTCCTGAAAATGTTCTTAAAAATATTCACTACATTTTTATTTCTTTTGTGTTTGAGGGCACATGTGGTGGGGTACACATGTGGAGCTCAGAGAACAATTTGCAGGGCTTCCTGATCACTGTCCACCAGTGGGTTCCTGGGATTGAACTCAGGAGAGTCTGACTTGGCAGTAGGTAACTTCTTTACCCATTGAGGCACTGAACTTTTAGACTGTGGCAATGACTGAGAACACTGTGGATAGGCAAAAGCAGCTGAGCTGCTTAAAACAGTTAAAGTTGTATACCTTAGTTAAAAAAAGTTTTTGGGCTCACTTTGGCAACACATATGCTAAAATTAGAATGATACAGAGATTCTACGAAAGGGTGACACAAATTCACGAAGTATTCCATATTTTAAAGTTTGAAAAGGATTTAAAAAAAGTCTTCCATTCTACTGTACTTTATTCAAAATTATCTTCCTGAAATGTAGAATTATTTCTTTGCTTATCTTCCTCATTGTCTCCTTATTGCCTTGAAATCCTTTGCAATTTAACTCCTCAGCCCTCTATTTACACCCTTCACCAGGATTCCTCTCTTTCAGTCACGTGAAAAGGGAATTCTTGTCCTTCAGTTTGGGATGCTTGTCTAGCCCTTGTCTCAGGAATTTACACGCTTCCTTTGATATACAGCTGAAGTGTCAACACTTAGGAAGCCTTCCTTAGATACCCCAAACAAAAATCATTCTCTTCTTCTTTGTTGTTCCTTACATACATCTCAAAAAGTGGTTTATTTTCCTTCAATATTGTTATCTGTCATAAAGGAGGCACTGTGTTTGGGCTTAAGACAGGATACAGAAAAAAAAAAAAAAGACAGGATACAGACAGAGTCTTACTGGGTATCACTGGCTGTCTTGAATTCACTTTGTAGACCAAACTGGTCCCAAAACTCACAGACATCTGCCTGCTGCTGCCTCCAGAGCGCTGAGCTTAAAGGAGTGTGCCTCCACACCCAACTAGACAGAGTTCTTAGGAAAACCCAGTCTATTCGGGCAAAAAGACCTTTAAACAAAGCATCTACAATTCAATGTCACCACAGTAATATAAACAAGGCTAACGGAAGGAGTACATGTTCTTGGTTATGGAAATGGGTAAGTTTACTTTGTTTTTCAAAGCAGGGTCTCTATCCTATAGCTCTGGTTGAGCTAACCTAGAATCATCTGTCCCAGGCTGGCCTCTATAAGTCATAACGACCTTCCTAGTAAAGTCTCCTGAATGAAGGGATTACAAATGTGAGCCACCTGTGGGCCTGGGCTACAAATTTTAAGTCACTAAACTTTTCAAATGAAAACAACCAAGAAATAATATAAATTATGCCTTTGTACTCCTGGGGTAAGAGAACCAATAATAAATAGCTATAATAGTTATTTTCCCTAAGGGTAGTTTTCCTGGGACAAGGAATAAACGTAAGTTCCCTTCCCTTTATAGGAGTTTCTCTAATGTGTCCAGGATTTGCTGTCTAGCAATGAACTAACACTTCCTAACTTCCCATGCTTTCCTCAGCCAGTTGAGTTTACAGGGCACACAGAGAAGGAATCAAAGCAGTATTTGTATGGTCACTGACCTAGAAGGCACAATCAGATCTCTGTCTGATGGAGATGTAGCCTCTTAAGAATCTGGAGTGGCAGCCCAAGGCAAGTGAGGGCCAGGGCTGGGGTGTTATGGATGGAAGTGTAGGAGCAGAAGAGAGGGGAATCCCTCAGGAATAGGTTCCAATCAGGCTCTCAAAAAGGCCATTTCTGAGCTTAGCTGAGCTCTGGGGTCAATTTCCAGCACTGCATGGTATATGCCTGTAATCCCAGCACCTGGATCAGAAGTGCAAGCTTATCCTTAAATATACAAACAGTTTGAGGTCAGCCTACTTACACCAGGCCCTACTCAAAATCGAAACAACAAAAAACCTTTCTGAAAAATGCCACAGTCATTTCTCTACAATTACTCTATTCCTTTAACAATAATTTCACTTCAGGAATAGTGGTCTCTTCTGGCAATCAAAAAATATGTAGCAAAATACAATGAAACTAAGACTGGAGTGAAGGGAAACCCTAATGATAGGGGGAAAGTTTATCCATTATGTAAAAATGCAGCAGGTCCAAAACTCACTCCATCTAAGCTCCCTTCCCTGCCTGTTTTTGGATAAAGTTACTTCTATTTCCTGGCCCCTAGGCTCAAAACTCTGGGTTCATCTAGGGTAGTCATTTCCTGTCCTTTGAGTCTTAGAGCTAATTGTGCCTCAAATTCCAAAGATTCTTCCAGCATCTTTAATTCTGTTTTTTTTTTTTTTTTTTTTTTTTTTGGTTTTACGAGACAGGGTTTCTCTGTATTGTTTTGGAGGCTGTCGGTCCAGCCCGGCCTCGAACTCACAGAGATCCTCCTGTCTCTGCCTCCCGAGTGCTGGCAGCATCTTTAATTCTAGTCACATAAACTTTTCTTTTTACATCTTGCGCATGTACCACAGCACATGTGTGGAAGTCAGAGGACAACTCTGAGAATCTGTTCTCTCTTTGTGTGTCCAGAGGATTGAACTCAAGTACCCTTTATTCACTGAGCCACCTCACTGGCCCCTAAATAGTTGTATGGTGCATCTACTTACGTTCCAGGAGACTCTGTGGGGAGAAACAGGAGGGTCCAATATGCTTACGTTCACAGACATACCTGTGAAACAAATCTGCTAGTGAGTGCATGAGAGGGTGACACGTCTATCAGGGTACAAACTGACATGCTGTCTGGCTAGGGTAATAAGGAAATACTGGGGACCAGCACTTGAACTGGGCCTTGAGAATGAGGTCTAATTTGGATTAGATATAGCTAGTAGAGGGAACTGGAAGGAAAACTCTCAGGAAATGGAAAATGAAGGTTGGTGCCCGGAACTAAGGGTGCAAGAGGTCAATGTTGAGAATAAAGGCTGGGACCAAATACTGGCTATCTTTGAATGCCTGTTTGAGAGGCCTTAATTCCTGGGCTGACAAGTCATTTCCTTTCTAGAACTTGGATGTTCTTGGGAGCTGACAACTATTTCCACGGGAAACCATCAGGTGCAAAACAAAGTTGCAGTTCCTTTGTGATCACAAGTCATTCCTTCTTCATTTGTAGCTTGTAGAAGAGCTTCAGAAACTAAAGGCATGAACCACCAAGCACAGCCAACAGCAGACATTTTTGCTTAATACTTACAAGCCACCATGTCTCATCAAGCAACTGTCTCTTTCACTACATTATAATCTCTTCGTGTCCACAGCATTTAATTTGTATTTTGTCCTTTTCATGCTGGGTGAAAATACATGCTCAGTAATAACAAAATTGCAGAATGAAAGGGGGATATTGCTAAGGGCCAGCATATATTTATTTCTAGCAGAAGGTCATTTCTCGTATATTAAGTTCAATCTGCAGAAGAAACGTCTCCTCCCAAACACATAAAACGTCCAAAAATAATTTAAGAAAACCAGCATCTATACCCATTTTGTATTCTATTACTTAAACCTGACTCTGAAGGCATCCTAACATTCAACATTTGGAAAGAATTCCAAGGAGATCTCCTGGAATTTTATTTGCTCAAATCCTGGATAAACTCAGAACTAAGAGATTCCTGAAATTGGAGCTCTGGGAAGATAACAATTGGGCTATTTTAAAAAGTCATGAAGCTAACTTATCAAAAAACCCCACTAAAGACAGTAAGTAAGTAGTCACCTACAAGCCTACCGACCCGGACCCAGACTGGCTCCTCCCCTCCTCCCTCTAATTACAACCACTCATGAGAGCCGTGGCGCAAGCTACTCCAGGATGACGAGAGACCGGGGTGGAACGCTTCGAACCCGCACCTCCTCGCGCTAACACTCCACAAACAACGCGGTCCCGGAGTGCGAGCACCTGGTTTGGAGCAGAACACGCGAGTCCAAGTCCCAGCTCCACTTCCGGGCTGGTCTGTGCCCTTACACAAGTGTCTTGCTCTCTCTGGGCCTGGGGGGGGGGGGTCCTCGACGGAGAAATGCAATGATTCTCTATCGACTACAGCGAGGGGCGGAATGTAAAGGAAGGTTTAAGGAAGACGCAAGCGATTCTCCAACTTGTTAGGGCGGTAGCGCTCGCAGTGCGGGCCGAGCAAACAGAGGACCAATCACCATCACCTCTCCCTTCACTCCCTTCCCGCCGCGCGCCGGGGCTGAGGCCTCTCCCTCAGGTGCGGCCCCTGCAGAAGCCTCACGGCTCTGCTTGCCATACCTGCAGCCACCTGGTCAGCGGGCCCCTCCTGCTGACCCATGACGAAGTCTTGCACGAGGCCACACAGGGCGCCCAGAGGCGCCGCCGCCTCCTCTAGAGCGGTGGCGGCAGCCATGACGCGAGCCGGAGACTGTGGGAGGGGAAGTGGGTGTTGCCTCGAGATGAGCCTCTCCGCGCACGCGCCTCCACAGCCAATATTGTGGGGCGCAGGCCTCGGGGGCGGGGCGCTCCCAGGTCACGTGCCTGCCGGCTCTGGGCCTGGCGGTTCCTTGAGGGACCTGACGGCCCCTCCTCCAGAGGGCGGGGCCTAGTCCGGGGCGCGGCACGAGGAGGGGAAGCGACTGCTGGGCACGCAGCCGGGGCGGTTGAGGGCGCATAATTCCCGGTCTCTCTCCCCGGGAGACAGACGGCAGGGCGGGCACCTGGCTGGGTGGGGCCGAGGGGCGGTACGCACCCAGGGGGAAGCCAATGAGAAAACCAGGCCCGGCCCGAGGGGCGGTGCCGTCGGTCACATGCGCACCTGGGACGGCTGGCGGCTGTGGCACGGACACCCCGAACGGGAGGAAGGGAACGGGGCCGGTCTGGGGCGGGGTTAGGCAGGTGACTGACAGGCTCCGGGGGGCCGGCCCCAGCTGGGAGCCGCGAGCGATCTAGGAGTAGCTGCTGCGGTGTCCGCCCCCTCCCTCCGCCCCTCCAGCCGCTGGTCTCTGGCCGGGCACTGTCGCGGGCCCCCCTGGCCTGGCCACCTCCCTCTCCCCTGGCCCGCAAAGTTTGTGGCGAAGCCGGCGTCGGGCAGAGCGCGCCCCAGGGGAGATCCAGGATCTCCCGATGTCGGGCTGCGGGAGCCGTTGACCCGGGGACGCCGCGGTTCGGGGCAGCAGCGTGGAGCAGCCGACCGGCCGCCGTCTCCGGTGCATGGGGACCGGCTGAGAAGCCAACATGGGCAACTGCGTGGGGAGACAGCGCCGGGAGAGGCCGGCAGCTCCGGGACACCCCCGCAAGCGAGCAGGTAACGCCAGGAAAGGCAGCGGGGTCCCGGCGCGCCGCCAGTTGGCCCCTGCCTTGCCCGAACCCTGGGGTTCTCGAGCGACCTCGCTCAGCGCCTAGGTTCCCCTTGGTTTTTCGGAGCCAGACGGGGCCCTCCCCGGCGAGGGTTGGCTCGGAAGCCAGTTGGGGTAACTGCGAGCGCTGACCCGGCTGTGAGGCCAACTCGCTCCCACCGGGAAGCTAGGGGTGGGGGCGGGGGCAGGAAATGTTTCCAGACCGCGACGAGGCCGGCGGAGGGGGCCGGACGAGTGCGCCGCTGGTCTGGCAGCCCCGGCCGGGGTCGGACGGCGGCCGGCCGGGGCGCGGCGTGGGCTGCCTGCGTCCCCAGAAGTCGGAGCCGCTCCTTCCAGAGAGTCACAGTGTCATTATCGGACTGCAGATCGTGTCTGCGAGAATCCGACTCGCAAAAGCAGTGCAGGACCATGGGATAGATATCTTTATTCCTGCCCACCCCTCCGCAGGGCTTTTTAGAGCCTCCTGGCCGGCTGGGAGTCTCCGAAAGGTGGGGTGCGGGGTGAGCGTCGTCAAGCCTTCTCAGCCCTTGGAATGGGATCCCTCTCAGCCATGAGAATGGAATCTGCTCTCTGGCGGCGTGCGAAGCGCCAATAGCGCTGTCTTCACTTTCTTGGTACACCCCTTCTGTCCTGGCGCTGCTTCTTAGGGTCATTTCCCTGGGTCTCGTGTACCCTTCTCTGAGGGTGTTGCAAGGAGCTTATGCAAATGATAAACTGTGGCGCACAAAGGGACCTTCAACCCTGGTCTGAATTTCCAGATCTACCTCCCTTGTGTGTAACAAGGCAGATCCAGAGTGGTTGGGCAGCTTCTCCTAAGTCACACAGCTAGTTAGTAGTGCACCCGGGGCTGGAATCCAGTGCCTTCTTCCTCCTCGTTACCACATACCCCTTTATGTAAGAGGAGCCACAGGGGCAGTTGTTAATGAAGTGGAAACTCTGGTTGGAGTTTCCTGTCTGCTTTGACACTGGAGGTGTGTTGTTTTGCTCGTAGAAACTGGTAAGGAGGATGGGGAGAGATGGGGGGAAGCAGGGAAGGGTGTGTGTGCAGGCAGAATGACTTGTGCAGGCAGAAACGTTTTCTTCATAGGAGGATGGGGTAAAACTTACCAAAATTCTCTTGAAAGCAACTGTGGCCATTCTTCTGACCAAGGACTTGTTTGTTCGTTCATTCATTCATTCATTCATTCAGTCAGTCAGTCAATCAACAACTACTTATTTCTATGCTCTGTCCTTGATTTTGCAGCTTATTCCCATGGTTGACAACCCTTTCCTACCTCAAACTCCCACCACCTTTCTTTGTCCACTGCTCCGGCTTTCTTTTTTGATTATTCTTGCCCACCCTCCCTTGCTAGATTGAGGATACCTGTGCTTAGTTTGACATCCTGGGTTTCCTCGTTACATTCCCTCCCAGAGATAGCTGGCTTAGTTGCACAACTCTTTGTCCATCGGAAAGACTCCTGTCTCCTAGTTACTGGCTTGATTCCCAGACCCCCTTGCTTAGGCAGACATGGGTACTGTGGAGATCCTCTGGATCAGCCCCTCTAAATCAAGTCCTGAACTTCCTTCCTCATCTGACTCGTCAGCTAGTCAGAGGCCTGCCAGTCCTTCCACCAGCGGGTCTTACAGACACGCCTCTCCCCACTTGGTTTGTGTCCATGCCATCTCAAGCCCATCTATTCCCCCAAGCTGCAGTGCCTTCTCCAGGGAGGGCTCCATCAGTCACCCATCTGATACCTGCACACAATGTTTATCTGAAGCCACTTGTGTGTCTAGGCTGTAGTTTTTATGTCCAAAAAATGTTCTGGTAGGATAGTGGTGGCACACGCCTTTAATCCCAGCACTCAGGAGGCAGAGGCGGGTGGATCTCTGTGAATTCGAGGCCAGCCTGGTCTACAGAGTGTGTTCCAGGACAACTGGGTCTACACAGAGAAACCCTGTCCCCAAAAAACAAAAGCAAACAAAAAACCCATCAAAAATTTTCTATACCTTCTACCTCTACAAGACCTTTAACTTTCAAGACCATACCAGTCTGGCCTGGTCTTTTTAGAACTGGAGTGCTTCCTCTTCCCTGACAGGAAGGCCAGCAGTGTCGCACATGCCTTGCCTTCTTCATGAGAGCCTTTCTTCATGGTGCACCTCAACTCTTGTACTCATCCATTTATCCTCTTTGTTTTCATTTCTTTTCTCTCAAGACAGGGCTTTTCTATATAGCACAAGCAGGCTGGTCTGGAACTCCCCATGTAGCTAGTGTAGCCATGGTGCCTAGACTTACCTTGAAATCTCCAGTGTCCAGAGTGTTGGAGTTATAGGAGTGTGCATCCTATCTTCTTTAAAAATGTTTTAAATTAGCATACAAAATAACGGGTTTGATTTTTGACATTCTCTTGCATCAGCATCATGTACTCTGCTCATACCCATATCCCTTGAAGCACCCAGCCTTGCAGCGCCACCATCCCCAGCAGAATGATTGCTTCTGACAACTCTTGCAGACACATTACCTGTGCCACTTACTTAACAATTGTCTGTTCCATATTATTGGTCAAGTCTTTGAAGTTTCCAGTCCTCTTTCAGCAGCTAGCACTGTAAGCCTGGAGACCTGGATTTGTCTTTCCCCTGTGTGCTGGTCTGCTTCTGTCCCTCCCATACTACGATGTGTACACACAGTCAGCACTTAGCACGGCAGCTCGACGGGGAAGCACTCAGTGTTTGCTACTGTAGAAAGCTAACCTGACTTCATCCTGCCACTTTAATCTTTTATGCAAACATTTTGCTGAAGTGTATCTCTACTTTTTTTTAACCTGCTAGTAAATGGTTCTTTTAATTCTGTGGACCCTACTATGAATAGTTTTATTCATGAAGTCAAAAGCCAAGGGCTACTCTGGAGGTGGCAGATTTGGTACAAGGGAAGGAATCCCTCTTAACTTCACAGCATGTACTCGGCATCCCAAAATGTCTGCAGTTTACCTTTTGACAGGAACAGAGTCTCATGTTGTAAGACTAATGCTTGGAACTGGGGGGTGGCTCGGAGGTAAAATCCTGGCCTAGAATGTGAAGAGCCCTCCATTGAATCTCCATCACTGGGTGTGGGGTGTGCCTGACCCTCCCCATAACTGATCCATACTTTGCTTTCCTTTTTTCTGAATGGGAAGAAATCCTGAACAGAGGCATGGAACTGGAGGGCCAATAAGACGGCTCAGCAGGTAAAGGTACTTGGCACCAAGCCTGGCCGCTCCAGTTTTTTTTGTTTGTTTGTTTGTTTTTTCGAGATAGGGTTTTTCTGTATTGTTTTGGAGGCTGTCCTGGAACTTGCTTTGTTGACCAGGCTGGCCTTGAACTCACAGAGATCCGCCTGCCTCTACCTCCCAAGTGCTGGGATTAAAGGCGTGGGCTACCAACGCCCGGCTTGGCGGCTCGAGTTTAATCATTGAGACCCACATGATAGGTAGGGGAAGATCACCTCCTGAACATTGTTCTCTGACTTCTGTACTCATGCCCTAGACAACAAATACATGCCAGTCATTTTTAAGGAAAGAGGTTGGGCATGGTGACACACACCTTGAAGCCCAGCACTCTAGATGCAGAGGCAGGAGAATCTGAGTTTGAGGCCAGACTGATCTACATTTTTAGTTTTGGGCCAAACCAGGGTTACATGGTAGAATCCTTTCTCAAAAAAACAACAAAAGCCGGGCGGTGGTGGTGCACGCCTTTAATCTCAGCACTCGGGAGGCAGAGGCAGGCGGATCTCTGAGTTAGAGGCCAGGCTGGACCGATAGCCTCCAAAATAATACAGAGAAACCCTGTCTTGTAAAAACCAAAAAAAAAAAAAAAAACAACAACAACAACAACAAAAAAAATCGAAAGAGCCTGAAGTCTAGTCCTAGGCCTCTGATCCTAGGCCTGTCAACAAGCCTCTCTGAGCCACATTTCTGTCAGAAGGGGACAGAGTTATTCAAGGTCATTATTGTTGCTTTATCATCTTCCTAAAGGTGATTGTTCCAAACTGGAGTTACTGGGGTGAAATGTACCTTACAATGCTACCCTTTGTCCATAATTCTGTCTTCTCAGTCATTTAACAAGTGAAACAGACTCAGTGCCCCCGTTCCGGGGATCTTGGTCAGAGGACATTTTGCTGGAGTGGGTTCTCTACTTCTGCCATGTTTCTGGCAGTCAAACTCAGGTGCTCAGTAGTGGTAGCAAGATCCTTCACCCACTAAGCTATCTTGCTGCCCTGATTATCAGGCTTTTTTTTTTTTAGAGTAGAAATAAATACTATTTTTAAGATTTTTTATTTATGTGTGTTGTGTTTGTGTCTATGGGTACCTACAGAGGCCGGAAGACTGTTGAATCTCCTAAAGCTATAGATACTAGCAGTTGTGAACCATCCAGTGTGGGTGCTGGCACTGAACTCAGATTCTCTGGGATATAGATGGGATAGCCATCTCTCCGGCCCTGGAATAAGTAGTATTTACTAGCCACATTTGTTTCAATTCCCATTTGAAACTCATTTGAATGCTAATGACTGGGGAAAGGAATATCATGCATTTATAATATTATTCTTTGTTTAGTGACATTTAAAGTTTTCCTTGGGTAATAATTACAGATGTCAAAGAAGCTAATGTATTTTTAAATATACTTTTTGAGACATAGTCATTATTTCTTACTATATAGTTTCATTTAAAGGCATTTTTTAGCCAGGTGTGGCAGCACACGCCTTTAATCCCAACACTCAGGAGGCAGAGGCAGACAGATGTCTGTGAGTTTGAGGCCAGCTGGTATAAAGAGCAAATTCTAGGACAGCCAGAGTTCCACAGAGAAACCCTGTCTCAAAACAACCAAAAACAAAACTGTATTTTTTAATTGTTTCTTTGAATGCGCCCTGAGTAGGTGTTAGCTATTCTGGATGCTCCCAAGACTATCTGAGGATTTATTCCTGTGGAGGGTGCTTCAG